TGCAGACCAGGGGCCCGATGTTTTGGACATGGCGAAGATGAGGGGTTTGTGGTCCACAAAGGCAGTAAATGAGCAGCCCTCCAGAAAATATCTAAAATGCCGTGTAGCCAAGTAGAGAGCAAGCAGTTCGCTATCAAAAACGCTGTTTTTGCGTTGTCCCGCAAAGTACGGCTGAAAAAAGCAAGAGGCTGCCAAACACCCGAGACACGCTGCTCCAAAACTGCCCCCACTGCCAGGTCAGATGCATCAGTTGTCAATGCTATCTGTGCTGACTGAGAAAGGGTGGGCCAGAAGAGCAGCATCGGCCAAAGCAGACTTGGCATCACCAAACGCCTGGAGGCGTTCAGGGACCCATTCGATGCTGTCGGTGGCTTTCTTCTGTTTTAGAGCACTGTAAAGCGGATGCAGAAGTTGTGCTGCTTTGGGGATAAAGCGAAGCAGGGTCATTGCTCGCCTGGTGGATGGCGGATCCAGCTCTGAAACCACATAGTGGTAGTTTGTGTCTTCTGATGAGATTCCACGAAGAGCAAACTGTGCTTCGACGTGGAAGAACCATGATTGCGGATCATGTTGCCAAAAATCCGGGATCTTAACGGCCACACCAAAAGAAGCCGGAGGAGTCGGTGGAGGTCCACCAGAAACGGCGATCGGCTGAGAGGAGCTGGGCAGGCCATCAGATGTGGACATGTTGGCTCACAGGGGTCACCAATGTGGAGGAGTGAAGATGACGACACAAAGCAGGCAGGTTTAAACAGTTCTTTACTCTACTCCAACTGAGAGCAACTGTACAGAAAATCCATATATATACACATCCAAACAAACATAAGCCCCCTAGTGGTCCGCCACAGTATTACAGTTTTTCTCAGTTGTTTACACACAAAATCTGGTACTTGAAACACAATGACCACAACATGTAACTCGGTAATCAAGCCCCTGAATCAATTCTACTGAACTACAAGCACAATTCCTGCTTTACATTCAAATTGCATTTCCTAAACACACTTTTTTTCGAAAACACTACTCACAATTCTCTGCTTTTGTAACGGCTGTTTGTAACGCGCTAACTAATTCTGTGCTAGTATAATTCCATTGTGAGTCCCATGATTGTACCTTCATTAGTTCCAGTTTCGCCACTAGAGGTCAGTATTGCATAGGTTTTAAACGATCAGTTGACAAACAAAATCTGCTTCATTTGCTTTTTATCTGTTCACAAAGAAACTAAATCTGACTTTAATTCGCATAAACTCTTAATTAAGGCATTTTTAATGATACTTAAATTCTGAGAATCACAATTATTTTTTAAATTTTTCCAACCATACTCTGCATCCAGAAAGTATTCACTTCATTTTTTTTTTTCAAATCTAGGTATGCTGCATTGAATTAATCATTTTTGCTACAAAATATGCACACTAATTGCAATTAAAGACTTAAGTTGTTTTGTTTTATTTAACAGATGCAAGTAGAATATAAGGATAGAGGCAGGTACAGCCAGAAAGCTGGTGACAGAGGCAGCACTGTTAGCTGGGTAGGCTTCTGGTAGAAGATGAAAAAGGCCAACTGAAGTCCACCAACTGGGTTCAGGTACATCCCTGGGTGGTCAGAGTGATGCAGGACAAACTATGGTCCGAGAATGGCTGCGTTTGCAGCCTAAATGTTTTTTATGGTCCTCAAATTGCAGGGGGTCTAGCAGTGAACCTGTAATCTGCTTTAGGTGCTTTAACACCAGTTACATAGAATAGAATTGAATA